CCCTCTGTATTACAGACCTTTATTCTAAAGCTTGCCAGCTCTCCTTTCCAATGACTAACAACACGTTCTTGCTGTAGATACGCAAATGCGTGCTGAATTTGTCAGATCAGGGACTGGATGTTTGCTATTAGCAAGAGAGTATTTGTCATATGATTCACAAGTATAACAAAGTCAATGTAATTTAACAAACAGGTCATCAGAGGAAATACTTTTCAACACTGTATCAGCAACAGACTCGAATGCAGTGTGACATCTTTTAGAGTCAAATCTTCAGTCTCTACAACAAAACAGCATTTTCATAATAGAAAGGAGTTTCTGTAGGATGGTACATTGAAAGATGATATATTTTTGTATCCCACCCTCTAAAGTAGCTCAGTCCAGAGCTATGACTTAAGAAAGCCACAGACACAAACACAAACACACAAACACAATGGAATCCAAAAGCGTGATCTGCACCACACACCCCTGTCAGTCTGTCAGTTTTTTAATTTTCCCATGTCAGAATAGGAAATATGTTTTCTTTTAGTTTAGTGAGATTTGGCAATTTCTGTGGTTAACAGGAATGTTGATTAAAATCAGGTCACTTGTTAATTTAACATGATGACAGGGTATAGGCACTACCTTTTGAATAAGCAATTAAAAAGAAGGAAAATATCGAAGATGATTCCTAGGCAAATACTAGTAAACAACCGACCTTTATGTACTGTAAATTAAATTCAAGCTAAGCATAATTTATCTTTGTTATTGTAAAACCTTTATAGTCAGGAAAATGACAATTAGGTATAATTTTATATTCTTAATAGCTCAAATAACTAATAACAAACAAAGGAAATTCTAAAAATGGAAAAAACAAACAAACAAGATATTTTTTGACCTATTGCAGATGTAATCCACAATCTCGCATCTTTTGTCTGTAGAACATATGTGCATTTTTATTCTCCTATTAGAGAGGTTTATCTAAGGAAAAAACAAAGGCAGAGTGAATTTAGTCCCGAATGAAGTGGTACCTGAAAAATAGTTAAGCGATATACACAAGATTATCTTATTGCTTATATTGTAGTAACCTAATTTATTTCTGTCTACCCAATTGTTTAATTATAGATATAAACCAAGCACAATTCAAGAACTACTACATAATGTCAATAAACGTTACCTACACTTAATGCTTATATCTATTGATGCTGCAGTATTTCAAATAGCAATTTGTGGATTAGACTACTAGCCCCAAAGGGGTGTTTTCTAGCCATTGCCAGCATTGTTTGTTTGTGATAGGTCCCATTCATACGTCCCTTCATGTTAGTGCTTGAAAGACACATCTTCACATACTTGGAAGCATAGGTATGTTTAAATATTTATGGAATGACAAGAATTTTAAAAATCTTCCTCCGAAACACTGTTAGTGGGAATTTCAATGTTGAAGGAAACATGCTGCAAAAGCAGTTTTTAAAACTGGCTATTGAAGTCACATTAGCGCCCTAACAAGAACAAGAAAATGTTCTTTTTGTGTGCTTAGCCCAGAGTAAGTAAAGCAGCCTTCATCAGAGCTCCTGTCCCATAACAAACATGCAGTGTCACATCACGTGAGCAAAGGTGGCCAAGGGGTTCCAGACATTAGGGGTTAAAAATATCTCCTGCATCATGCTGTGTCTCTTTTGAGACATTAGTTAGTGGCTAAAAGTTGACATCTTCATGTTCTTAAATCTATTAAACATTGTCTTAGTGAGTGACAGAAGCTCCTGATTTTGAAAAATGAAATAGTGACGGTTGAGGTTCACTTACCTTTGCACAGAAGAGTACTGGAAAGATGCTTGCAGATACTTACTGTCTTACTTAATAAGTGGTTTCTTGAAACACCTCTGTGCTTAACTGCTGCATAAGGCTTTCTGCTCTGGTTTGGGCACAGTAATCTCTGAGTTGGTATGTGTTTGTATGGGTGCTCAAATCTTAGGTGCTCACATGAGGAGGGTAATGGCAGACTGTGCAGTACCTTTGGTCCTATTTTACTCACGTTCTGCTCTAAGTGAAGTGTAAAAGTGCCTCTTCTCCAGTACAGAGTTTAGGGACTTGGTGTAACCTGCTGGTTCCTGGTGACTCTAGGAGGACAGCATGGAAGGGAAGCCATGGGCATGGCTTGAGCCAGGTAAAGGCAGCTCTTAGTGGTGACAGAATTTGTTTGCTTTCTCTAAGGTGATAGAGGTGCCTGCCCATGTGAGCTTCTCCTCAAAACCTTGTTTTGATGCCAGCAAGTTAGATTCATAGAATAGCCCAGCTTGGAAGAGAGCTCCAAAGATCATCTGGACAAACCTTTTGTGGGAAAGGGAACCTAGATGAGATTATTTAGCACCCTGTTCAGTCACATCTTGAAAATCTCTGGTGATGGGAGTGTCCATGGGGAGACTGTTCCGGTGATTGATTATTCCCAATGTAAAAAATTTCTTTCTTATATTGAGATGAAGCCTCTCCCAATGCAGCTTGTACCCTTGCCTTCTCCATATGGCTCCTGGTGAAGAGCCTCCATCTTGTGTGTAGCCACACTTTAAGTAGTCAAAAACTCTGATGAGATCAGAAACTTGTGAGTTAAGCTCACCTGTTAATGCTGCACTGAGAGGGAATGGGACAGAAGCATCCATACCTTCAGCGATAGCTATGAGCAGTGTAAGGTTAACTGTCTCCCTGCTGCTTGGTGCCACATTTCCTACATCTTCAGCAGAGATTAGGAAGAACGCATGTCCAGCATGTACAGGCATGATGACGTGAGCTGTGAGAGAGAAGGTGTTGAGCCTATGGTGTCCAGTCCCCATAGGTTACACTGAGGAGTGAGCTTCCCTCAGCTGTGCCCCCTCTTGCTGCTGCGTGCTAGGGCTGTGCTGGCAAAGTGCAGAAATCCCTGTGGCGTAAGCGTGCAGCGGGTGTTATCCACGCAGAAGCGACCATCTGCACTGGGGAGCTGGGCCCTGTCCCTCCTTACAGCCACAGGCCGCATGTCCCTCAGCCTTACCACGTGCCAGGATTTCATGTGTACACCCAGAAGTCCTGCCACCATCCCTCCCTGCTCTGGGACCTGGCTGCTCACAGCGGCGTGGCTTCTGAAGTTGCTCTTGTGTGTGTGGCATCTTGCGTGTGCATGTTTTTGTGGAGACCGGTTGCCGAGTGTTAGTTGTGTCACACGCTGTACAGGCTACAGGCTCTTCAGGGGCAGAGCAGATGCCCTATGCAGACAAAGGAGCTGACTGCAGTTCTTTCAGACCTTGTCCCTTTTCATGTTCAGTCTGTGAAGGACAGCATTTTGAGGACTGCTGGAGGAACTTTTCACTGTAAAGACGCCTGAGCAAGCCTTTTAGATAATTAGCTCACTTTAAATGCAGGAACTGCTTTTAGCGTGGACTTTTCCCATTTGTATTTCCCCCCATCTGTTCTGGAGTTCTTTGGGACTGCTTGCACCTCCAAAGAGCAGTGTGGTCCTGCTGCTGAATTGGTTCTTTTCTGAAGGCTTTTGCACTGGGTGTCTGGAGAATCTTTGAAGTGGACAGGTTTCCACTGCACAGTCCTGTTTTTCAGAGTTGCAGGAAAATTATCCTTAGTCCAAAACTTGGCTTTTATATTTTTGCTGATCCCCCAAAATTAATATCTATTACACAGATATCTCTCAGGTAAAGAATAATTTTTTAAGCATTGAAATTCTTGAAATCATCCAAAAATCTTTTTCTCTTCAGATAATACATGGACAGACAGAAAAGTTAAAAGGAATGTGACCACTGTGCTTAGTGGTAAATCGCACTGAGAGAGCAAGTAGCAGGGAATAGGCCCAAAGAGAAGAAAAAACAAATTGAATCATCTAAAATGAAAGTAACAGCATCTGGAGTAGTTTTTCCAGAACTATGGCCATAGTCTTCTCCTTTGGTCGTTCCAGATGTTTTCATTAGGAAAAGATGATCATACAGCTCTGGTTACTCCTCTATCAGTTGTCACTGAACAGTAGTGTACCCTGCACAGTTTGTTAAATCACAGAATCACAACTCTTAATTAACTGTATCCATTTAGGAAGTGGGATTAAGGTAAGGTAAGGTCTCTTTGGGTGTTTCTTACACAGGATTTTTGTTTCCTGGTAACGTATTGGTAGTTTCTAAAATATATTTTGATTTGAAAATTTCAAGGTCCTCTCATCAACATTTGATGCATTTTTTTTTTCTATCACGGGTTCTCTGGGTTTATTGCCAGATATCTCTGAAAATAACAGTTAAAGATTGTGTTTCATAACACTTCTCTGAGAAAGCTCTTACCCAGGGTCTATGGGCAAGAAGATTGAGTTTCTTGCACTGCAGGCAAGGTGGTTTGTTTGTTTGTTTGTGTTTGGTTTTGTTTTGGGTTTTTGGTTTGTTTTGGTTTGTTTGTTTGGATTTTTTTGTTGGGGGGGGGGGTTTTTTTTTTTTTTTCCCCTTCAGAAGCATATGGGGCTGTATTTTCAAGGATTTAACAGTTCCCACAGGGGTCAAATTTTTCATAACTGTTCTGTGTGCAGAAGCCCCTTGATTTATATGGCCAGATTTAATATATCTGGTCAACTTGTGCATTATGAACATTCCTAGTAATTGGACCCGAAATGACTGAATTAAAGCGTATGTTTAGGCTGCAGGAAAACTGCCCTCAGTCTTTGTCCATTAATCACTAGAGGTGAGGACCAGAAGGAGTGGTGTGGCTCTCTTTTGGCCCAGGTTTCATTCCCATGGACTTGAAATATGCATCTGAATCTAAGAGCAAGGTGGTGCTTTTGGATGTTACCATCGAGCAATAGCTCTCCAGAATTCATGGAACAGTCAAGAACAGAATAGTCTTAGCTTCTGCCTGATGGATCACATAACCACTTGAATACACTTCCTGTCTGGTAGAAAATGCTATTATTAACTAAATAACCCTACTCCCCTCTGCTGGAATCTATCCTAGTATTTTGGGGTAAAGTGTTAGCAGGTTGATTAATTGATTTTTCTTCTCTTTCTTGACAGCTCCTAGACTGTTTTGTCATCCCAGTGGTGATACTGCTCTCCTGGTTCTTCTTAATGGTACGATACAAGGCAGTACATTTCATTGGGATTGTGGTCTGCATTCTGGGCATGGGCTGCATGGCAGGAGCAGATGTCCTCGTTGGGAGACAGCAAGGAGCGGGTGAGTAAAGATGAATAGGTTGTATGACCAAGCTCTGTTCAAAGAAACCATTGACCAGAACATGTCAGACTGGGACAAAAAAAAAAAAAAAAAAAAAAAAAAAAAGGCAAGAAACCCTGTGCCTTCATTGATCAAAAGCACTGCACTATTCAAATTTGTTTCCTTGTCAGAAGGGACAGAGAACAAAAATGGGTCAATACCAATACTTAGAAGTCACCACTGCTGCAAATGGACTTCATGAGCCCTGTGTTTGCAACACAGGTCACCCTCTGTGCAGGCTGTGGGAACAAGCTAAATACTTGTAGTTTCATTCTGTTCTGGCTCAGTAGTTTGACTGCAAACATCAGTTCCTTCCTTTCCAAACTGGCTACATCTTTGAGTCATAAGCACCTCTCACATCCACTGTATATGCTTTCTTATCAACTTTGGTCCTTTTTTGTACGGAGGTAGGGTTGCTGGGTAGATGCTAAAAGACTCTGAACCTACATACTAACTGTACCAACTGGGTTTTGCAGACAGTCTCAAAGTAAAGGTTTGGAATTTGCCTATGTTGTTATTGAAAGGAACCTTCTTGTGTGTAAAATGTTCTTTTTTATGTGCAGCATTGTATGAGTAATGTGCATGTAGCTATTGATGCAGACCAGACAGAGCTAGATTTCATCGATCAACTTCCTCTGTCACATTGATTTCTCTAGTGACAACCCAAATGATGTGGGAAGGCTCGAAATTCCTTTCAAAGACTGTCAATTAGGCACAGTTTTCATTCTTAATTAAAAGCACTGAATTGTGAGCTGAGCATAATACACTGGGATTTAAAATTCTTGACTCAGCTTTCTGAATACAAATGCAAGTGCTGTAAGAACTGCATTTACCAGGATGTTACTAAATAAAACAAGGGAGTTTGTGTCAGTACTCACCATATCTCTCTGCCCCCTTTTATCCCTGTCCTTTATCCTAAAAAGGAGACTTTTAGTTCATTGATCTCCTCCAGAAATATCCCTGCTCCAATTAAAAGGAAAGAATATACTCTATACTATGAAATGAAACAGCCAAAGCTGCATTGGGAATGACTGATTTCAGAGGGATTGAGATTTCAGCCCTGGGTTCCAGAGGAAACATCCTGTGTCCCAATAAAGTAGAGAGTAACATACTAGTGTGGGTGAGTTGTGGATCAGCAGGAGCATATGGGGAGATGGACCTCAGCGGACAAAGAACAGGTTGAAGAACATTGAAACTTTGCATCCAACTGCAATAATTAGATATTATTTGCCATATCTGTCACTAGAACATGGGTATAGCTGTTAACGTGCATAACTGCCTTTTAATTCAGACCTACACATGAAAAACTGTGTCCATGCTTATTGCTACAAAGAGAGACTGCAGCTTTTAATTGGCAAAATGATGTTATTAATGATATTGTCTTTAACAGAGTAAAACAGATCAGCAGGTTTAATTTAACTGAAGGAGTAAAACTATATGCTACAAATCTACAAATAAAATTAAGTATTGGCAGCAAAAGAAAAAAGATCTTGAAACTCTTCATTAAAGAGCTCCACACCATTTATAGGATATTTCCTAGGACTAGGCAAACAAAAGGAAGGAAGACACCAAAAGCAATCATACTGTATTAGTCCTCAGTAAACTCCTCTGTTTATCCAATATTTTAGGGGACAAGATCTGTTGACACCTGCATGCCCCTCTTGACCATAGTATTTACTGTACTAGAAGTGCTATAAGGCTCTGCTAGGCACCTACTCCAGAAAGGAATCTAGCCTGCCAACTCCTACAGTAAGAAAACATGAATTTAAAATTAGAGATTAACAGGTATTTTCCAAACTATGTGCAGGAATTAGATATAATGTGCAAGCACACTCTCAAGTTTCAATAATTATACGGTAGTTTGCCTCTTATTGTATCCTGGCTGATATTTTGCACATTACTCAATGGGAAAAGCAATTACTATCAAGTACTTTGTGCTCTATCACCTTACATGGCAAGTATACCTTAAAATAACACTTCCCTGAATTAATACCCCTGAGGTACCTTAGTACTTGTTCTCCTGTAATACACAGGGGTCTAACAGAAGTCTGAGTGTTTCAACCAGATTTGTTGAAGTACTTTGCAGCTTTAGCTTAGCACAGTCTCTGAAAACCAGTCACTTCAGTCCTTTGAGTAACTATACAGGAGTGTGTTTCATCTAAAGTGGGACATGGTGAGGCTGATTTTTAGATATTACAATCATCAGTAATAACAACCAAAAGCAAGGAGAAACACCTCTTAATACTAGGGGTTAAAGTAAAAAAGTAGCAAAGTGGCCTAGTGGGAGTGTGAAAAGCAATCACGTCAGAACATAGCTCATACTTAATCGAATCATGTTACCCTGTAGTGCTATAACTAGTCCCCAAAACTTTTATTCCTCTCTGGACTGTATGACTTCTGCTTCCAAAGAACATTAAATACGCTTAAAATTAAAAATTATTAATGTGAAGTGTGGTTTGCCAAGCTATGCCTTTTAGTTCTTCAGAAGAATGACCTAGGCCATTAAATTGGTCAAGTACAACTGTATTAACCTAAAAGTCTGTGCAAGGCCTCTAGTCAGTTGATACATATTTTCTTACAATGATACCAGTATGTGTTTTTTATATCCACAAAAATATCTCTGTTAGGATGTGTCAGTCCTGGAGGAAAGTTCCAAGTCAGCCTCTTGAGGAAGCAAAGGCAAGGCATTTGAAAACCAGGATGGTAGGAAATATTAGGAAAGAAAATAAAAAATATAGTTTAAAACAATTTAGTGCAAGTATATAAAGTTTTGATGCACAAACCTCAAGTAGCATGCATTACTTTAGTCACTGAATCTCAAAAAGAAAAGACCAGAAAATAAGCCTATAGAAGCAATGGAGAAAGGTGAGAAAGCCCTTCAAGGGCATCAAATGGCTTCATCATGAAGATACTATAGGCAGACTGGGACTTTTCATCTTTCAAAGGTGAGAAAGAGTCAGAATATGATAAAGTTACTTGAAATCTTCAGTGGTATGGAGAGGGTCAATAATATTAAATAATTTAAATATTAAATAAATATTAACTATTTCTTACAATGAGAAGATTGTGGGATGCCAAATATAATTTTGAGATATCAGGCTTAAAAGCTAAAAACATGAAGTACTTTTTAATAGTAGGCCAAAAATATACAGACTGTACGCAAATTCATGAAGAATCCTTCAATATCTATTAAGTTTGATGGACTAATGCAACTGCCATCTCAGAAAATCCCTACTGAGAAGTGGCTGATAAAAATCCTTCTGTGTTTCCCTGTTTCTTCATGCTCTCCTCAGCCACCCCGTACTGCCCAGTGCCAGAGGAGGGTCGGGCAGACCTGTGCATTGGCCAGATCTTGGCTTCCTTTTCTGGGAAAACCCTGGAGACTGAGACTCATTCTGAGCATGAGTGCACTTTGGGGAGAGACATCATAGTGTGGTGCTTGGGGCCATTCTATCTCTGTGAAAACACTCAGCATCTGAGCTGTCTTGGTTCCACAGAGGCAAAAGGATATTTTTGTCTCAGCAGTTCAGCACAGCCAAGCTCTAAGGTGAAAAGCTTTTTCAGCAGTGCTTCCCTAAAGGGTCAGTGAGTAGCTGTAATAAATGCCAAATGAGTGAGCTCAGTGAAGTATTTGAGCCACTGTGGAATATCAGATGCATGAAGGGGCTGAAGAGATTTTGTAATGTGCTGATGCTTATTTTAAGTTAAGGGCCTTTTCCAAGTCTAATTGCAGAAGAAGGATAAAAGGAAAATAGATAACAAATCTTAGAAAGATAAATGGTCTAATATAAACATGCTGTCACACAAGGTACATGCAAAACAGAAATCAAGAGACTGGATGAGTACATGAAAGAGAAATCTAGTAATGTTTGTTCAATACACAGTAGCCACGTGTTCACTGAGCTGGATAGTGCTAGAGACTAAGAGAGTATTACTGGGAGTATTTTAAACTTTACCCATTCCTATTTGTCCCTAAACAACTTATATTTTTCTGATGCTTATAGCTGGTGTCAGAGACAGGATACTGGTTAAATGAACCCCCTGGGTCTGTCCTTTTGTGACCATTCTTATTTTCATAAATTTCTTCTCACTGGAAATTTCATCACTGTAGTTTGGAATGAAAACTGAAGGCTTACAAAAGTTCCATAAAGAAAAATGTTGAAAAGATCATTTGGAACCAATCAGAAGTTTTGGGTTCCATTTTTAGTTAATGCAGTGTGTATTTATAAATCAATAGTAATAAAAGATTAAAAGGCAGGAACTCAAAAAAATAAATCAAAATGCATTTTAAAAGAAAACAAAGTCCGTTTCAAAATAAATTAAAAAACAAAAACCCACCACCACCATGGTCTGGTACTTCAGCATTTCTACTGAACCTTTTCAGTGGAAATTCCATTATATCCAGCTTTCAGGAATATGGTTCTGCAGCAATGTGTGGCAGCTTGTGAAGCTGTAGCTCTTGTAGAAAACATTTAACAAGCCCTATGCGCAGAGGGGATTTCCTGAATCAGTTTGCAAAGCCAAGGCCTCAGTTTTCAAGCCGGAACTTGATCAAATCTCCCTGCAGCCCTCTCCACCCCCCCCCCCAATAATAAAAGCCTCCAAGACTTGAAAAGATTTCAGTCTTTGATAATACAATGGTTTAGTAATTATATGTTCCTGGAGGTACTGAGAATGCATTCTTGGTGTTCATTGAACATTAGGTGCTGCTTTGTTAATTGAACCTCTTTTTAAAATCTGTCATTATCATCACCTGTCTGCAGCCTATCCTTCCCCCTCTCTTCCTTGTCAAACAGCTGCATGTGAGAATGAGGTCAATATTTGGGTTGTAATGATGTCTTCACTAATTTCACAGGTACACAGAATTTTTATGTTGATTTTGCTTCTAAATGGTGGACATATTTTAGACTGATTAAATTTCAAGATGAGATGTAAAGTGCTTTATATAGCTGAGTCACATGCTAGCTGGGAAAAAAAAAAGTAATAATAAAATAATTAGATTTAGTCACTCTAGAGTGCCACTTTATTTCTATATTTTTTTTACAAATTTTTCATATTCTTTTGGATTCTCTTATTTACAACAAGGATAATGCTGTCTTTTTGCCTCTGCTAGATTTTGCTGGAGTATTGAATGAAAACCTAAAATAACAGAAGCTGCTTTTGGTTTATTAAACCAGACGTGGGATATTTAGTGACTGAGGATTGCAATCTGTACAAAAGAATTTACAATGATTCTAGACAAAAGGTGGTTGTTTTGAGATATTCTGATTTTTCCTCTGTTTATTCCTAGGTGAAAATAAACTGATAGGGGATCTCTTAGTACTGGGCGGAGCAACACTATACGGCATCTCCAATGTTTGTGAGGAGTATATTGTCCGAAATCTGAGTCGAGTGGAATTCCTGGGCATGATCGGACTCTTTGGCTCCTTCTTCAGTGGAATCCAACTGTAAGTGATAAGGTTTGAGCCCCAGGGTCATTCAGATAAGTGCAGCTGTGGCTTCCGTTGAGGTACTCTAGCCCTCTCTTCAGAGGTGGCTATTTCTTGTGGAGAGTAGTTGTCCTCTAATTCTGGAATTTGCATTGATTTTCATATTTCAGATCAGTGGATTTGAATAATAATGCAAATTTTTACCTAAGTGCTCTAATTCAAGGACTGGCGTCCTTGAGTAGTGACATGTGGAGGGAGGAGTACAAGACACATCCTACCTTCTTGTTACTGCTTCACGTGTTGGTCCAATCTGTGAATAACCAAATCTACAACTCACTGTGGTTCTGTTTCATGCTTTAAAAAAGTCACTTAGATTTCTAAATACAAAAAAAACATGTCCAGTCAGAAGGTATTTTACTGATTGGCTTATTCTGTGTAACTACCTTGTGCTATGGTGGCAATAATGAAAAAGCCTTTAAGAAACTGGTCTTTTCACTCTGAAATAGTCAGGTAATTGTCACATAGATTTCAGGAACTACTGAATCCTGCCTATGTCCACATGTACCCAGTGAACATCTCACCTGCAAACCTACAAGTTGGAAGGCAGCTGCCGGTGTTGTACTACCGTGACTGATGGAAGTGTAGTAAAAGTGACCATACAAAATTGTTACAATTTTTGCAGATCCATCACTGATGCTTGTCACACAGAATAACTTCTAATGATTGGTCAAAACCAAGTTGCTTCCCTGCACATCTGAGCTACTCAGCTTCTAAAACCATAAACTGCTCAAAACAGTGATCCATCGATTCCCACTTAGTTCTATTTCTTTAGCCAGAAAGCTTAAAGTATTTATATGGGATCTGAGTGCATGACTTAAAACTGTTTTTATTAACTATCTGCCACACAAACAATTCCTTTTTTAAAAATGTAGAATTCAAGAGCATGTAAACATGCCTGATATCTATGGCTAGAGCATTTTTGTTACCTATAGTGTTCATGATAGGTAGGTACTAACTGATTCTGAGGGCATGAAAGCAGTGCCCTTGCAATGAATAGCAGACATCATATAGTTAGGTGTTCACAGAGGTTTATTCTAAATATGCCAATTATTTCAAAGACAAGCCAGCTCCCCATGTAAAAATTGCTGATTTTTTCTTTGAAACACTAGTGGCCACTTTGGTGCAATAAATGACCTTTAGGTCCTATAAACTGAAGTAGACTGGAGAAGGAATGTCTCGGAGATAAGGCCATTTCCCAGCATGCTAGACACAGCACTGGTAAGAGTTTGATTGGTATCCACAAAGCGATTGTGGATGGGGAACATGCTAATACCACTGGAGGTCTAAGTTTCATGTTGATAGGATTTACAGGGAGCAGTACAATTCTGAAGAGGGGAAAATATCAAAAGTGCGTACAACTGTGCTGAATATAGGAAAGGCAAAAGAGTAGCCAGAAGTGAATGTCCCCTTTATTACCATGCACTGATCTCAGAATTATATAGTAGCACAACGCTGGATATTTGCCTCTTATTCCATATGTATTTACAAATATCCACATAAGTATAGGTCACTCATGTTAGTTCATGCTTCAGGTCTAGTACAGGGCTGTGTCTCCAAGAGAACTTTCAAGAAATAGGCTGTTGTTTTTTAGAACAGTTTAACAAGACTGCTGGATACTAGACTGTGGTGTAAAATAAACCGAGATAATGCCTGTTGGACAGCAAATGAAGGGCTAAGATGTCAGGGCAAACAGTGAGGTAAAGCAAGGAGTTGGCTAACTACCCAGGCATGATGGAAAGAGAAGTTTAGTGGGTTGAATGTGACTAAAGCAGGGAGGAACTGTGTGTCAAAATGAGAAGAAATTAGTTGTGAAGGGTTGAGGATATAGCAACTACCCAGCAAATGGAGATAATGTTGTCTAGACTCTCATAATTACAGAATAACCTACTTTGTAATGGACCCCGAAGGTCATCTGGTTCATATTCCTACTGAAAGCTAACTTCAAAGTTAAATCAGGTTGCTTGGGAACTTGTACAGTTGACTTCTTAGTATCTCCAAGAATGGAAATGCCAGTCCTGCTTAACAAGCTGTTCCAGTGTGTGAACAATATTTTTTTATTCTACCTGTATCAGGATTTCCCACATTGCAACTTCTGTCCATTATCGTTCATCCTTTTGTTGTGCATCTTCAAGAAAGTCTGGCTATCTTTTCTGTAACTATCTGTTAGCCAGTTAACATAATACACAGACAGTATATTATCCTGTCCTTCTTCTCCCTGGCTTAACCTTCTCTTTTTTGCACAGAACAATTCCTGCT